ATTAATTTGTCTTCCAAGGTACTTCTTAGAAGTTCTCAAATTTATTTCAAAAAAGATTTTTGTAATATGCTTTCAATATCCTTTTAAATTCTGTAAAATCTGTGGTAATGTCCTCTAAATTTTGATAATGCAATTAAAACAACATATAATTGATATTGTGTGATAGGAAGAAAAGGTCTAAAGGAACAGGGGAAGTGGGAGGGGTAGGGGAAAGGAAAGATGGGAAAAGAAAAAAATATGAGAAAAGGAAAAAAATGGGAACAAAGTCTTTGCAAATAGGAAGGGTGGAGGGGGTTAAGGGAGGGCCGGAGAAGGGGAAAAATAAGAACCAAGATACTCATGTAATGGTACAAGATCCCAATGATGAATGTAATTGTATTTTATACCTAAAATGTACCAATAAACTTAATGGAAAAAAAAATGACATCTGAAAAAAACCCCATAAAAATCCCCAGAACTGAAAAAACAAAACAAAACAAAAACCAAGTTTGTCAGCCACATGGTAGGCACTGATATTCAGTCATAGGTAGCTGACATCTGTTCTGCTCTGTCCATCTCTGTGCCAAATATCACCCTGCCTATGGGCATTGTTAAAGCCTTCACTCTGCCGGGGATTTAGCTCAGTGGTTCCACCGCCTGACTTGCAAGCGCAAGGATCTGAGTTCCATCCCCGGTACCAAAAAAACAACAACAAAAAAGCTTTCACCCTGCACTTCGCTGGATTTTGCTCTAGTGGTTCTCCAGCCAGAGATGGAAACAGCATCTGCTATTGATATAGGGGAAGAGATGTAACTTCCAAACCTGCTAGGTATCAGAAACTTGAATTCGGGTTTTCTAAAATAGAAAAATGGATTCTAGGAACAATGGAGGTTAAGAGTAGGAAAAATTTATCTAAGAGAAAGAAAGCTTCTGTCTAAGAGAGAGAGGAGGGGGACGGGAAAGTGGGTTGCCCACTCACCCAGCTTCTCACGAAGGTGTTTTATGGGTCAAAGCCAAGAGGTGAGGCAAGTTCAAGGTGTGACAAAGCTGTAGCCAACTAATAAGATTACAAATACAGTCACTTAGGTAATACGATCCAATGAGGAATCACAAGGTGGGCAAAACTATGAACAACCAGGGGGCTGGTGCAGGGCTGCCATGTTGCCGCAGATATTTAACTTCCTTACTAGGACAGTAATGATGATGCTGAAGATGTTTCACTGTTTGATGCAGAAGAAGAAACAGTTAGTAGACCAAAAAGATCCAAAGTCAGTCAGTGCAATTATAGTCTATCTTTGTGTGAATTGCTCAGCAGCAGCTTTATTGCCTATATGGTGACCATTATCTTGTTGTTGTCATGTGACTTTTGGGCAGTGAAGAATGTCACAGGTAGATTAATGGTTGGCCTATGTTGGTGGAATCATTTTGATGAGGATGGGAAGAGCCACTGGGTGTTTGAGTCCAGGAAGGCAACTTCTCAAGAGAATAATAGTGTTTCAGAGGCCGAATCAAGAAAATTTTGGTTAGGACTTATTGTCTGTCCAGTGTTGTGGGTGATATTTGCCTTTAGTGCTCTCTTCTCCTTCAGAGTAAAGTGGTTGGCTGTGGTTTTCATGGGTGTGGTGCTACAAGGTGCCAACCTGTATGGTTACATCAGGTGTAAGGTGGGTAGCAGGAAGAATTTAACCAGCATGGCTACCTCGTATCTTGAGAAGCAGTTTTTAAGACAAAACACTGGAGATGACCAGACTTCCTGAGTAGAGAGAAAGCTATGTGTTCTGTTACCTTGGGGAATAACTGAAGAGATTCTTGACTCTGAAGTGTTTAGAGCTCCATTCATTTTACAAAGAAGAGTGTTGGGTTTGTTTTTCTGCTTAAAAACTTTATTAAAAAAAGGAAACAGATTTCATATTATTTTTATTTTCTTTCTAGTGGTTGGGGCTAGAGAGTATAGTATCATCAGAAACATTGTCAGAATTTGTTTTATGGTATACATGTGTATGCACAGCCATGTAATAGCAGTATATCCCAAGTTAATGTGTTCATTTACATATGTAACAGATCTTTACATTTTGATCCATAGCACATAAGACCATGTTCTTAGTGTGTTTCATAGTTCTGTGTGTTTACATATTATTTCTATAGATTATTTTCAGAAGTAAGGCTTTTTTGGGGGGGTGGGAGGGCAGCACTGGGGATTGAACTCAGGACCTCACACTTGCCAGGCAGGTGCTGTGCTGCTGAGCTACTTCCCTGGCCCAGAAGTAAGTTTTGATTCTTTGTAAAAGTGAGCACTTTGGCTTATATATGAGTTAGAAAAGTTAGAAATAATTGTTCATTTTTAATATGTACTTTATGGTGAAATTTCTTATCTAAGAAATACAAGTAGGTAGGCCCAGGGATTTGGCTTAGTGGTTCTGCTGCTTGCCTCACAAGAGCAAAGACCTGAGTTCGATCCCTGGTACCAAAAAAAAAAAAAAAAAAAAAAAAAAAATCACACACAAAAAATTTGGGGCCGGGGATTTAGCTCAGTGGTTTCGCTGCCTGCTGCACAAGTGCAAGGACTCGAGTTCGATCCCTGGTACCAAAAAAAAAGAAAAGAAATACAAGTAGGTAAAAACAAAATTCAGGTCAGTAGTGTTGACTAGTTTCTAAAACTCTATTTTTATCCTGAGGCCAATAATATATAAACAGAATGTTCATAGTTTATGTTTAAGGTATACCTAGGGATTGCTGTTGTTTTATTTATTTTAGGGAAAGGATAGTGAGATTTTACTTTGGAAATCCCTGGAAGCCTTTCAGTGGTCTTTGGACTGACTAATAAATCTTACTTTTACCACTAAAAGAATATTATTCTTATGGTAATGAGAATAATCTTTTGAATACCTGGCATAATAAATGCCTAAAAGACATTTTGTTTTATGAATCTATTTTTTTCTGCTATAATGAGGATATTGTAAATCATACATTTGTATTAATGATATTTCTTAAAGCAATATATGTAACTAAACTGAACTGATCTACAAACTGTAGGCATCTGTAAGTTCTGTTGTAGGTGCTATAAACTTCATTGGAGTTTTAATGGGGGCAGATTATGTTGTGACTGTATTATTAAAATACATTGTCAAAATATTTTAGATGTTTTCTTAAATTGAATAAGTGTTTATTGGAGTAGTAACTTGGAAAGTGCAGAACTTTATATTTGTATAAAGCTCTATTGTTTACAAAGCAAAAAAACCCCACTATGAACAACCAATAAGACTATGATAAATATAGTCTAGGTAATATTGATTCAATGGGGATTCAATGGGGAAGCAGGTCACACAGCAAGGGTAAAAGGAATGAGCAAGAATTTTTGGTGGAAAGGGGTGGGTCAGGGATCTTTCTTGGAAGATCTTTGTCCCCCACCCAGGTGATTGATACCTATTTAGAATACCAATCACTGCTATTCATCCTACATGGGTGTGGTGGTTTCTCTCCTTTTACAATACTGGCCTTCAGTGAGTGTGTCTTGACTGTCCTCCGTGTTGGCTTCTGCCGGGCTGGCCCAGTCTAACTGCCTGCAAGATATCTAATTAATTTACCTATCTGCAATACTATCACTGAAGACAGTCCTGGGTCAGCTGCCTGGGCCGCTCTGGCTGGAAGCCCAGCCCTCTCCCAGTCCTCCCACCCTCACCAGTCACACCTGGGCTTGCTGCTCACCTCCTTGCATCCCTGGAACCCAACACCTTGGCCTGGGCCCTTGTCCATGAGGGATGATCGTGCACTCTGCAGCTGGCCTCCAGGGTGACATCAGATGGTAACATGTGGCAAGCAGCTAAATTGCTGATTTTAGCTCCTCCTTGTGGGGACCTAGGGCAGGACATCAGATGCTCCCTGCTGGGAATTAACGGCCTGCAGAAGAAAACTGTCACCTCCATATGAAAGGAGATTCCTTTTGGAGGAAGAGCCATCAGAAAGGTAGACAGGGATGGAGGAGTCCCTCCCCAGTCAGGGGGCCGCGTGAGAAATGCTTTGGGGACAGTGTGTCCTGGGTAGAGATGATGGAAAGAGAATGGAGTCGTGGCACATAGTCAGCTTTCAATAAATACTTGTGAAGTGAATTGAAGAAAAGCAAAATCAGGAGTAAGAAGCCAGGCAGGGTGGTGCACACCTGTCATCCGAGCACTCAGGAGGCTGAGGGAGGAGGATTACAGTGAGTTCGAGGATATCCTGGGTTACACAGTGAGTTTCAGGACAGCCTGAACTACACAGTGAGACCCTGTCTCAACAACTACAATCCCAACAAAAGCAGGAACAAGAAAACAATATCTTCAAGGACAAGCGACGTGAGAAACAGTAGAATCTGGGTGTTGAGAAAAGCTGAGATGGTTGCATTGTTCTGCAAAAAGGCTGGGACTCACTGAGTAGTCTCTTCCAACCACAAGTGCTCAGTATGCTCAGTGTGTGTGGAGCACTGGAGATCTTTGCCCTGCCCTGTGAGCAGAGGCTGGGTGCTGGAGTGCAATGTGTTAGTCTCTTTGGATAGAGATTATGATTCAATGGATCTTCTCCATTCCCACTCAGCTGCCAGAGAGTAAAAACAATGCCACCAAATAACTCACATAATTCCATGATGAATCATCTCTTTCCTTCCCCACTGTTATCTTTTCACCCACCTCCCTTCCCATTCCTCCTCTTCCCTTCCCTTTCCCTTCTTTTTCTGGGGGTTGGGGTTGAGCCTAGGGCCTCAGGCTTGGCTACATCCCCAGCCTTTTTTATTTTTGATGTTCAGCCAAGGTCTCACTAAGTTGCCCAGGCTTACCTGGAACTTGGTTATCCACCTACCTCAGCCTCCTGGGCAGCTGGGACTCTAGGTATTCACCACCAAGCCAGGTCCAGAAATTTCTTTTCTTTTTCTTTTCTTTTTTGTTGGGGGGCAGGTTGTCACTAGTTCACGCTGGCCTGGTACTCATGGGGACCCTCCTGTCTGAGTCTCCCGAGTGCTAGGATTACAGGCATGTGCCACAAAAATCCAGCCAGAAATTTCTTAATATATCATTTTTAAAAAATGCATATTCTTGGGGCTGGGGATCTAGCTCAGTGGTTCTGGTGCCTGCCTCGAAAGCACAAGGTCACAAGTTTGATCCCAGGCACCAAAAAAAATAAAATAAAATAAATAAAAAATGCATATTCTGGGCCAGGGATTTAGCTCAGTGGTTCCGCCACCTGCCTCGCAAGCGCAAGGTTCCGAGTTTGATCCCCAGTACCCCCCCCCCCCCCCAAGGATATTCTATTCCTTTGGGTTAGAGGAAGGTCTCTTCCCTTCAAATCTTTTAAGCTTTGGGGGAATATGTCATTCAGGGTAACATGAATCCGTGTTCCCCAGCCATGGTCACTCATATTCGGCTCAGAATAAACTTTTCTTATTTCCTTTACAAAAACAAAAATGTTACTCTGAATAGGAGAGAGGGCTGCCAAAGTCCAGGTTTGTTAGGGTTTTTTTTTTCTTTTTTTTTTTTGGTACCGGGGATCGAACTGAGGACCTTGCTCTTTCGAGGCAGGCTCTGCGCCACTGAGCTAAATCCCCGGCCCCAAAGTCCAGGTTTAGGGGACACAGGGCCAAGTCGCAGCTGGGACCGGGCTGGTGGGCGTGGGCCGGAGCCCCCTCTGGGCTCTGTTTACCCAAGGAGCCAGAGGCTGAAGTCCGAGGGCGGGGAGAGGTGCAGGCCTCAGGCCGTCGGCGCCTTTCATCGAGGCGCCCCTGCACTTTGAAGACTCTCACTAGCTTGCCGGCTCGGGGACAGGACGCGAGCCGCAATGCTGCGGCTGCTGGCGACCTGGGGCGCGGGGCCCGTGCGCTCGGGGCTCTGCCACTCCTGCCGGCAGGCTTCGGACGCTCCCCGGAACCAGCCTCCCAGCCCCGATTGGGTGGCCCGGCCGGTGGGCCTCTGCTCCATGATGCGCCTGCCGGTGCAGGCCTCCCCCGAGGGGCTGGACGCCGCCTTCGTCGGGGTGCCCCTGGACATCGGCACCTCCAACCGGCCGGGGGCGAGGTAAGGCCGTGACTGCCTGCAGCGGGGAAGGTCCTTCAGCTGCAGGGGCTCTGCCTGGATTTAGAGGGCCGCACCTCTTCCCCGGTCTTGTGGGTCCGGAGGGGTTTGTGTAACTCATGGGCTTTGCCCAGATGGTATCTGTGGGTCCTCTACTCCCCGCCCTGTCTTACGGCGGCATGGGACATTGCATCTGAGAGCAGACGCTGGCAGTGCCCCTTCCCAAAACTTCTATCACCTGACCGAAAATGCTCAAACTGCTCAGGCCTGGCGGCCGCACCAGTAATTAATCCCAGTACTCCGGAGGCTGAGGCAGGAGGATTGCAGGGAGTTCCAGGCGCCCCTGCCATGCTCAAATTAAGGAACCTTTCCTGAGATCAAGTCAGAGGAAGTTACATCTGTTTTCCTAATTACTGAGCACTAGCAATTTCTGATTCAACTTATCATATCTGTCTGTACTGGTCTGAATCATTCACTAAATGCACGTCACTTTGCATAAATTACCTGATTTCATTACAGCACTGTGAAGTTACTAATATTTTACAGATTAGGAAACTGAGACTCAAGGACATTAAGAGATTATGTAATGCCATTAATTAATTGGTGATGAATGGGCTCCTGAATCTTCACCCCTGATCTTTTCAATAATTGCCTTGGATTTTTTTATTTTTTTGGTACCAGGGATTGAACTCGGGTCCTTGCGCTTGTGGGGCAGGTGGCGGAACCACTGAGCTAAATCTCAGGCTCCTCAATAACAGCCTTGGACTTGGCAGGGCACTTGGGAAGCATGGGGAAGCCCCAGGTTCCATGCCAGCACTGAGAAAAAAATAGTTAAGATCAATGGTTCTCAAGGGGGTGACTCTGCACCCCAGGGGATCGGGATATCTGGCAAGGACTGGGGATGTATTTGGTTGTCCCAGCTTTGGGGAGGAGGCACTGCCCACAGCTGGCAGGTCCAGGCCAGGGGTGCTGCTGAACACCCAGAAGGCGAGCCCTTGGCAGGAAGCCTCTGTCCTCCAAATGCCCCTGTGGAGTCGAGGTCTGGAAAAGGGAGCCTGGGTGCAGAGCGCCTTTGCCCTCTGAAGGCGACAGGCTGCCGGCACCATCCTCCTGCTCCCCAGGTTCGGACCCCGCCGCATCCGGGAGGAATCAGCAATGCTACGCGCGGCCAACCCTAGCATGGGTGCCCTCCCCTTCCAGTCTCTTGCCGTGGCCGACCTTGGCGATGTGAACGTCAATCTTTACAACCTTCAGGACAGCTGTGGGCGGATCCGAGAGGCCTACCAGAAGATTGTGGCCTCGGGCTGTGTTCCTCTGACCTTGGGTAACCCGAGTTTTAAAGGGCGAAGAGGCGAGCTATGGGTTTGTCAGGCAGGCAGCTGCTTCCTCAGGGCAGGCCACCGTGAAGAGGCAGAAGTAGTAAAGGGAAGGTTCTAGTTCATTCACTTCAATCCCAGGGATAGCGCTGTTAGGGCTGGTGGACTAGGGTAAGGGAGAAAGGCATCTACCTAGTGCAAAAAGTAAGGGGTCTTCAGGCACCTTGGGCACTTCTGGAATCCCAGCACTGAGGGAGGCTAAAGCAAGAGGATTGAAAATTCAAACCAGGCTTGGTAGTGCAGCACTTGGGAGGCTGAGGCAGGAGGACTGTAGCAAGTCTGAGGCCAGTCTGAGGCCAGTCTGGGCTACATAGCCAGACCTTGTCTCAAAAAACAAACAAATAAACCAAATAATGTGCATATGAAGTGCCCAGAATTGTGGTTGGTATATTTTAAACTCCAACAAATGTTAGCTGTTGGTTTTTTTTTTTTTTTTTTGGTACTGGGGATCGAACTCGGGTCCCTGCACTTTCGAGGCAGGCAGCAGAACCACTGAGCTAAAGCCCCAGCCCCTAGCTATTGGTATTAATAAATATCAATAGTAATACTTTTCTAGGCTTGCTCTTTTGAACAGGATAGCCACTAGCCGCATGTTAAATTAAAATTAATCAAAATAAAATAGTTGGGGGTGGGGATTTAGCTCAGTGGTTCTGCTCCCTGCCTCGAAAGTGCAAGGTCCCAAGTTGGATCCCTGGTACCAAAAAAAAAAAAAAAATTAAAAAAAAAAAGTGAATTCCTCAGCCACAATATTGGCTCCTATAGAACATTTCCATCATCACAGAAGGTTCTGTTGGACAGAGCTGTTCAGGGCACTTATGGTTAAGCTTTCATTTGTTGAATTTCCTTTTTTTTTTTTCTTTTCTTTTTTGTTGAAACAGTGGCTCACTATGTTACCCAGGTTGGTCTCAAACTCCTAGGCTGAAGTGATCTTCCTGCCTCAGCCTCCTGAATAGCGGGGACTACAGACATGCACTACTGCACCTGGCTGCTATGTGATAATCTTATCCACATCTCAGATGTTTTTTCCTTTTTACCTTTGCAGGTGGAGATCACACAATCACATATCCCATATTGCAAGCCATGGCAGAAAAGTAAGTCTCAAATGGCTTGGCCAAGCGAGGTTTCAGAATTCTGGAGCTCAGGACACTTTATCTGTTGCTAGGCTGCTTTGGGTGGCAGCTGCGCCTCCCTGGTTATTCAGGGATGATAGGAAATTCCCAATGAAGTCGCTTCTGCAGATCAAAATTAAGGCCGAGCTCCAGGTGTTTGTCAGTCACCAGCTGGAAGCCAAAACCATTGTGATCAGCCCTGCTTCCGCTGCCCAGATCTCTGCTAGTCCGTGTGCTCAGTGTTTTCAAGCTGTCTGGAAGCCCTAGTGAAACTCAGAACCCCTTCTGGTTAGCTGCAGTTTCTGTTTGGCTTCAAAAGCTAAGTACAAATTACTGACAGGCAGGGCACAGGCGGCATGTGTTTTTGTTGTTTTTTTGAGATGGTGTCTGACTATGTAGCCCAGGCTGGGCTCAAGCTTGCAACCTTCCTGCCTCACAGGCTCCCAAGTGCTGTGTTCACAGGCATGCACCACCACACTCAGCTGGAGAAATCCTGTTTTCTCGATGGGACCCCTTCCCCAGACCATGGGAAGACTGATTTTTTCAGTAGTAGAGTCCAGCAGGCAATAACCATCTTTGGCTAACTTACATAGAGAAAGACAGTAGGGTTGAGGCCAGGGGTGGCAGATCCACATTTCATTTTTGGGAAGGGCATGTGGGTAGCATTCAGGCTGGATGTGTCTTCTGGCTGATAGAGGTCTTATCTCCAAGCTGTGCTTGCCTCCCACTGATGGGGACCATATGTGTGACTGTGTACCAGGGTGGCAGGCAGGGGTTGATGGAGGTGATGGAGAGGAGCTGGGTCAAATCTTGCTGTTGGAAGCCAGGTGTGGTGGCACACATTTGTAATCCTAGCACTTGGGAAGCTGAGGGAGGAGGATCATTGTGAGTTTGAGGCTAACCTGGGATACATAGTGAGTTCAAGGCCAGCCTCAACTACACAGTGAGACCCTGTCTCAAAAAACCAACCAACCAAACAAACAACGCCCCCGCCCCAAGCTTGCTGCTGGAACCAAGGGTGGTGACACATGCTTCCAATCCCAGGACTCCGGGAGGCTGAGGCAAGAGGATCTAAGTTAGAGTTCAGCCTGGGCAAGTTAGCAAGATCTTATCTCAAAAAAGAAAAGAAGGTTGGGGACATAACTCAGTGTGAAGGCCCTGGGTTCAGTTCCCTACTGTAAGAGGAAAAAAAACCTTCCTATTGGTGCCACAGTTGGGGAAGGGATGGCTGATTGGTGCAGCCTTGGCCAACCTCATCTTTGAGCCACCACCTCACTGTCATTGACGTCCCCCCTGCCCTGTCTCTAAGTGAAGCAGTTCAGGGTGGCAGCTAAAGGAGCTTCTGTTTTCTTCTGGCTCCTCTGAGAGTGAAGTGATTTGTGAGGCAGGTGGTTGAGGCCAGGCCTCCCGCTGTGGCTATGAACCATTGTCAGATTTGGTGAGGCCAGGGTGGCTGTGTTCCTGCCCACGGGGTCGCTTGGCCTCTGAGCTGCCTCGTTGTCACCAGGCATGGCCCCGTGGGGCTGCTGCACGTGGATGCCCACACGGACACGACCGACAAGGCCCTGGGGGAGAAGCTCTATCATGGGACGCCCTTCCGCCGCTGCGTGGACGAGGGACTCCTGGACTGCGAGCGGGTGGTGCAGATCGGCATCCGGGGCTCTGCTGCCACCTTAGATCCCTACCGCTACAACCGGAGCCAGGTGACACACTGAGCGCCTGTCCCCAGAGCGCCTTCCTCGGCATTGCCTACCTGTGGCCATGATGGGGTAGACCGGAACTTTACTAACCAAGTTCAGAAAGTGGGGACAGGAAGCCGAGTTTGTCACAGAGGAGGCTGTTGCTGCGCTGGGAAGAACCAACCGGCTCTCGCAGTTTCTCCCTGTCTTTAGCGAAGCTTCTCCCTGATCCTAGCTCACAGAGTAGCTTTGGCCCTACTTCCCTACCTTGCCTGTAAAATAGGGGCAGCAGTTCCTCCCCAGGGAGACTGAGGGTCAGCGGTGGAAGAGCTTGTGTGGAATTGGCCTTGACCTCCAGCTCTTCAATTCCTCCCACCCAGGGCTTCCGGGTGGTCCTGGCTGAAGACTGCTGGTTGAAGTCACTGGTGCCACTGATGGCGGAAGTCCGGCAGCAGATGGGAGGCAAGCCCCTGTACATCAGCTTTGACATCGATGCCTTGGACCCCGCCTACGCACCGGGGACAGGGACACCTGAAATTGCTGGTCTCACCCCGAGTCAGGTAAGGAGGCTCCCCTAGTGGATTCCTGGGGTGGAGATACCTAGCACCTCGCTTTCTTAGTACTTGTAGTGAGTCTTTAAGAATCGAAATAGGAATTTTTTTTTTGTTTTAGTTTTTGTTTGCTTTTTTTTTTTTTTGGTACGGGGGATTGAACTTGGTTCCTTGCACTTGCAAGGCAGGCGGTGGAACCACCCAGCTAAATCCCCGGCCCTTGTTTGCTTGCTTTTTGAGACAAGGTTTTGCTATGCAGTTCAGGCTGGCCTTGAACTATGTAGCCTAGGCTGGCCTCAAACTTGCAGTGATCCTCCTGTCTCAGCTCTCAAGTGTTGGGATCCCAAGTTCACCACCATGCCCAGCCAGGATATGATTTTATCAGCAGAGCACTCAGGTTTTGTTTTTTTTTTTGGTACCAGGGATCGAACTCTGTACCTTGCGCTTTCGAGGTAGGTAGCAGAACCATTGAGCTAAATCCCGGGCTGAGCATCCAGGTTTTAACTGCTCTTGGGCTGTCCTTGGGGTGGAATACTGAAGGAGGGGGCACTGATACTGGCAGGGCTCTCATGTCTTCTCTGGGATACCAGAGTCCTTTGAGTGGTCCACCTGCTTCTGGCCCCTCTGTAGCCAGCTCAGGGACAGTGCTGTAGTGGCCCTGCCCGTCCTATGAACATTAAACCTTGGGGGTGGAGGTGTAGTTCAGTGGTCAAGCACAGGCTTTGGATGTGCAGGCCCTGTGTTCAATCCCCAGCACCCAAATGAAACCAATGAAAACATTAAATGTACCCGTTTAGGGTTAACTTAAAAAGCACACACAATGGGATTACCTCCCTACCAAGGTGACTCCCCAGGTTTACACTGAATTAAGCTTCCAGAAGGTGTGCTGAGTAGGCACAGGGTGCACAGTTGGCTGTGGCAATGGCTAGAAGTAAGCTGGGGGGTGGGGTTTTGGAGGTTCACCCCCCTCCCCCGCTTCCTGGAGCCAGACAGTGTCTGGCACAGGAGCCATGGATACTGCAAGGTGTAGTGAGAAGTGAAAGGGGGGTGCTCCTAAGTCCCCTGTCCCCCTCAGTCAGATTCAGAAACAGGAACAGCCCTCTGCTGCTCGCCTGCAGGATGGAAACCCTTACAGACTGGGCGATGTCCTCCTCCCCCTTCCCCATCCTGACCTTGGGCCACCTCTGACTTCTCCCATCATGGTGCCCTTGCCTGTCTTCTTGTCTCCCTGGAACTCTCTTCCTCAGCTTGGCTGTTCCTTTGAAACTTTCCCACCCTGGAGAAGCCTCCTCCACCTCTCCAGGATGTCATGCCTGGCGCCCTTCATCAATGGCCCTGAACCCATCGGTTTGCTCTTCTCTGTCACACCCTGGCAGAGTGCACTTCTGGGGCAGGCAGTGTGTACTCTCTGCTTGTGTCTCCAGGAGGCCCACCCTCATGGCTGCGGTTTACGGTTCCTGGTCCACGGGTGGGTGTGTGTCCGGAGCAGCCCTTGACTCTGTGGACAACCTGGTTTTCATCTTGGACAGGCTCTCGAGATCATCCGCGGCTGTCAAGGCCTGAATGTGGTGGGTGGTGACCTCGTGGAAGTTTCTCCGCAGTATGATGTTTCTGGTAAGGAAGACAGCTGTGATTCCTGAGCAGCTGCTAGTTCAAACTGTTATTAACCTAGTTACTAAATTGAACATGGATAGGTTCCCTTAAAAACCTTGGAACCCTGCTGGGTATGTCCAACAGTGAAGAAAATCAACCTATTACTGCACCCCTTACAAACAGTAGCTAATTAACCTTAACAAAACCCCTGGGATTAGCCAGGTATTATTAATCTGTCAGCAGAAGAGAAAGAAAGCAGCTTGAGGTTTAGTGACAAGGTGGAGCAATTCCATCCTCCTTTGGTATCTGAGTGAAAAGTGAATATTTAGCTGGGTGTGGTGGTGCATGGTGGTAATGTCAGTAATCTGGAGGCTGAAGAAATTCAAGGGCAGCCTGGGCTACAAAGTGAAACCCTGTCTCAACAAAGTGTGCGGGTGCAGCTCAGTGGGAATCCCCCTGGGTTCAATCCTCAGTGCTGCAGGAAAACAACAACAAAAAAATCTTAAGAGGGCTGGGGATTTAGCTTAGCTTAGCCTGCCCCTGCCTCAAAAGCGTGGAGTTTGATCCCTGGTACCAAAAAAAAAAAAAAATCTTAAAAGCAGTTGCCATCTGGATTTTTTTTTTTTGTACTGGGTATTGAACCCAGGGCCTTCACACTGAGCTACATCCCCAGCCTTTTAAAAATTTTAGACAGGGTCTCACTAAGTCACTAAGTTGCCCAGATTGGGCTTGAACTTGCAATTCTCCTGCTTCAGCCTCCCAGAGTGCTGGGATGCAGTATGCCCAGGTTGTCCTGGAAATTTTAATTTAAAAATGCTTACAGAGTTAGGGCTTTTGGCTTCAGAGGCAGGTAATAAATACGGTACACAGCATTATTAGAGGTTTTGTTTTTTGGTACTGGGGATCGAACTCAGGACCTTGCATTTTTGAGGCAGACTCAGTGCCACTGAGCTAAATCCCTGGCCCTATTAGAGGGTTTCTTGTGGTGGGGGGAGTCTTAAGTGGAAGCAAAGACTCCTGTGAATTCTCATACTGTTTCCAGATGAGAGAGGGGGAATAGCAGGTCACATGCTCACGGTTGGATGGGCAGCCCATGGAGGGCACAGAGTTGGGGTCAGAGGGCAGAGGCTGGGGGTCCTAACACTCAGCTTCCAGGTGGGGAGGGTGGTGGGTATGTGGTACTCATTCACTCGGGCTGGGGTTCTCCTCCCAGGAAATACAGCCCTCCTGGCAGCGAACCTGCTGTTCGAGATGCTGTGTACACTACCCAAAGTGACAACTGCCTGAGCTTTCTAGAGACTGCCTTGCTGGACAATCTCCGGAATTTATGAGCCACAATCTTGAGTATGAGAGTTTATGCCAGTAGAGCTGTCTGCTGGAAGTGTCACTGTGGCTATAAAATAAAGACATTCAGAACTCTAACCCAAACAGCCACCGTTTCTGAGGAGTTTGAGTGGACTTAGGAAGTTAAGCTCTGATACTGCTTTTGAGTTTTTCTTTTGATGAATGAGGATGGAGGACACAGGGAGGGGATGGAGAATTCATTCAAGGTTATCTAAAACTTGAAGCACTGAAATTAAAAAAACTTATGGAATAGGGCCGGGGATTTAGCTCAGTGGTTCCCGCTGCTTGCCTAGCAAGCACAAGGACCCGAGTTAGATCTCTGGTACCAAAAACCAAAACAAAACAAAACACAACAACAAACTTATGGAATAATGCTGTGTAGATTTTCCATATTTCTACAGAATCTTCTTTTAAAATACAGCTCCTTGGGCCGGGGATTTAGCTCAGTGGTTCTGCTGCCTGCCTTGCAAGCATAAGGACCGGAGTTCGATCCCTGGTACCAAAAAAAAAAAAAAAAATACAGCTCCTTCTCCAGGAGCTTAGGGGCTATATCTTGGTTTCAGGACCACTGTAAATATAAATGAAAAGTTAGAAAGAAAACGCATGCAAGTCCTAGGAGGTACCTGGGAAGGGCCCAAAACGTCTTCTACTCTGGACCACACAGCTGAGCCCTCGATGAAACCTCTAACCCATTCCCTATAAGATTCAGGTTTGCATGAGCTACTTTTCTTTTTGTGGTACTGGTGATTGTACCCAGTGCCTCTGAGCTATATCCCTGGCCTGCCCCCCCCCCCCCCCCGCTTTTTTAAGACAAGGTCTTGATAAATCGTTAAATTGCCCAGATTGGTTTTGGGCTTGAACTTGTGACCCTTTTGCCTCAGCCTCCCACAGTACTGGGATTCCTGGATAATTACTAGCACATTATCTGTTTTTTAAGCTGAGGCACTCTCTAGGACAACAGTTCCTGAAATCTGCAGTTAAACTATTAAACTATGCTGACAGCAAGCATGTGAATTACATGTAAATTTGATTTTGTTCATAATGTATCTGTGATCAAATCTTTATCTCAGAATGCAAGAGCTACCCAACAGTAGTCACACATTAAAATAGTTTATTTGATTCCAGTCTGTAATATTCTTAAAACAAATAACATCAGCTTCAGTGCCTGTTCACAATACAAGAAAACAAAAAAACAAAACCCAAAAACCTCAAAAAAGCAAAAAAACCAAAAACTCCCCTGAAAACAAACAAAAAAATCCCAAAACATAAAAAAGATACAACTTGCCACATAAGTTATTTGTTCTAAAGAGTATCAAAAGTGCAAAATATTCACCTTCTCTGATGGGTTTCTCAAGTATAATTATCTTTCTTGAACAGATTTAGCAGCTGCCACATTGCATTTGTTTTCTTGGGAAGATGTCAGATATTTGACATGAACTAAATTTCATCTGCAAAGATGTTTTGCATCAGTTTGTTTTTGTTTTGGTGATGGTGGAGATCAAATCCAGTGCCTGGCACATGCAAGGCAAGTGCTTTACCACAGAGCTACACCTTGAGCCAGGCCCCGGCTTTTAAGGAATTCTACTATAAAGAAAAAAGCTGAGCGTTTGCTTCCAATTCCTACTTCCAAACAAAGCAAATCATTTAAAGCATAGTCAGATTCTATATTTTGTTCTTTTTGAGACAGTCTTGCTACATAGCCCATGCTGGCCTTGAACTTGTAGCCAACATTCTGCCTCAGCCTCCTGAGTGCTGAGATTACAGGCCCACACCCAGCCCCATTTTTTTTACATCAAGAAAACACTTATGTCCAGATGGCAGCTGCAAATTGATTATTATGATAATAAATAAAAGTCTATAGTATGAAGAGTGTGAATGAGAAAGAGATCAACCTCAGAAAACTATGACCTAGCAGCTGTGACCCCAGGGCGCTTTCTGGAAAGGAGGCCAGGCCTGCTCACTGCAGTGTTGCTCAGTGGGGGCTGATTAGGTGTCAGACAAACTGGGACCAGTACCTGAGCAATGAAAAGAAGCAGTTCTGAGACGGTTTTGTAGCCCACAAACACTTGTTTTAGGCTAGTTTTCGCTCATCTACCAAACACAATGCATGTCAGTATCAACTGGAGACACTCGCCTCTTAAAACATCAATGTTGCTATTTGAAGACGCAGGTGTCAAGACCCAAATCAGATCCTATAGGACCACAAATATCACAATGAGAAATGGCAGCATTGGCTGAGCAGGACAGGGGCTCATGTGTTTGACACAAAAGTAAACAAATTCTTGGACACAACATTCGTAAGGGAGGAAAGGCTTGTAACGGTCAAGGGTAAAGTTCAATAGAAAATAAAAGCCACAGTCTCCTCTTGGGGTGCGTGGGCACCAACCCCTAGGCAGACCTGTAGGAGAATTTTTGGACTCAATCATTTGCCAGGGGTATTTGTCAATTCCATCACCATTTTCTTTCCTGTTACAAGCAGAAGGTACAGCTGTCTGTAGGTGCTTTTAATGATAAATTTTTTTTTGTACTGGAGATTGAACTAAGGATCTTGTGCTTTTGAGGGAGGTGCGGTGCCACTGAGCTAAATCCCCGGCCCTAATGACATAAATGAAAAAAAAACACATCTGGGCAATTTTTGGTTTTTAGAAATTAAAGCCAAGAATTTCATTATTATCACAAATTAAAAATAAAAACCTACTACTGAATCAAAACACTACTCCTATGATCAACTTGGCCATTAAAAACAAAAACATAGGCGGGGATTTAGCTGAGTGGTTCCGCTGGCTGCCTTGCAAGCACAAGGTCCCAAGTTTGATCCCTGGTACCAAAAAAAAACAACTCAAAAAAACCTCACAAAGAAACCTAGAAAATAATTCTGAAGCCAGTATATCAAGGAGCCAGTAAAGTGAATTCTAACTGGGCAGGTGCTGTAGACAAAGTGCCCACAGCCAGCATCAAGTCTGAAGGGTCATGTGGAAGAACCATGGCTGGCAGTGAGTTCTTTATTTTTTAATAAAGCTGTAAGACTCCATGAAAAGCCACAGGAATCCCTGGGCTCAAGTAATTCATTATGTACCACCATAGCTCAATGTTGAAATGATCAATGATCCAAGTGGCTTAGTTAAAAGCAATTTTGGTTAGAGAAATACTAACTTAGTACACATTCCATCCCTGATTTTCACCCTTCCTTACAAAAGGGCATTTGCCTGGACAGCAGAACAGATCACTCTTGGAAGCTGTCCCGACCTCACTGGTGATTTGGGCCTAAGAACAAAGAGAATGCCTGCTCATGGCTGGCATGACCGGCCCGGCCCCAGGCACACGAAGCACTGGTGACTGGTGTGACCCTGGGCCTGGGAGCACAGGTGCCATGGGAAGGGAGCAACCATGAAGCTGAGACACTGGGATTGAGGCCAGAAGTGGAAAGGAAGCCACTGCAAATGGGAGTCTAGGACAAGTCTCAGCTTACTTGTCACAAAAGATGACCTGAAGATACAGCATTTTTGGGGCTGCTGAGAAAGTTTACATTCCTCGATACAAAGACGTTGTCTGGTATTTGACTCGAGATACCATAGGATAAGAGGTTCCTCCACCTGACCCCTGGCAGGCAGGAATCACCAGTCCTCAGTTTAACCTCTACTGGCTCCAAAGCAGCTTATCTACGTTCAGAGAACAAGGTTACAAGTTATGGCTCCTAATATCTGTACCCTAAATTGATAGGGGCAGAAAGGCATCTGAAAACGTACAGGTCAATGGCTCAAAGTCACGATGGTGCTTCTTGCAGGGCCAATGCTTCCTGGGGCTGCATGGCTCCAGGTTTCCCTTCCCTTTGCTTGGGAGGAAAACCAAACTCATATGTGCCCTTCTCCCCTTTCAAGACTGTCGCTGGCAAACTGTCATGGGGGATACCCCCAAAATACATTTCTCACTGCTTACTTCCAGAATGACCATTCCAGGAAGACTACTTGGAGCAAAGGCTCTCGAGAAACGCTGGCTGTTCTGTGTGGAGCATGTGCAGCAAGGCTGAGGGTGGGAGGCAGGGAAGGGTTAAGTGATGTTGGCGACAGGCTCCCAGGGGTCCATCCCGCACAGCTTCTCCAACATAATGGACAGGTTGGGAGGGAGGTGTGAGCACATGACAGAGGTAACAAAGAGGAGGGAATGGAGAGGTCTATTTAAATAGTGAAGCATTCAAATGAGGACAAAAAACTCCACAGGGAAAAGAAATTATTTTGATCTAGGACATCAAGCCTGTGGTGTGGTTCACTCCCAGGACAAAGGAGAGATTCTTCCTGCTACTGTGCTGGAAGAGTGATCTAAAATCTATACTCTGTTCATGGTGATAGTTGAGTCCTGAAAATACCTGTTCTGAGGACCAGTTAAAAACCTGAAGAGTTCACAGCTCTTTGGAAATCCTCAGTCCAGCTCCGGCCATGACGGGATATAGAACCTCTGTAAGGACCCTTCCAGCAGGCGCTCCATCCACAGGGACAGCTTGCTCAGCTTCCCTTTGATGGGCCTGGGGCCAGGGCCACCAGAAGGCTTCCCCCGAGCTTCGCCCAGGTGCAGTGAGGAGTCAAGATCACCGCAGGATCCCATGGCCTCTTCCTCTTCCACTGTTTTTTGGGGTTTGAAGAGGCAGAAGTACTTCTTGTGGCCATTCAGAGCCAGTACGTAGCCAGTGTAGTCCCGCTCCATGAAATGCTTGTCATACTGGTTTGGGATCAGGGCTGCATCCTGAGCAAACTCGAGGAGGTATTCCAGCCACTCCCGGTGCTTGTCCAGGCTCAGGAAGGAGAAGTGCAGGCAGCTGCTCCTGTGCAGGACAGTCAGGACTCAGTGCTGTGACACATTACCCATAGGGGACAAAAATACTCCAGTCGGATACAAGATGACGGGAAAGGGTTTTGCATCAGGTGGAGGCTGAACACACTGGCTTTCTAGGGGAGCCAGGTGACCTCTGTGACAGCCATATCACTCTACTCATCCACTTGCCTCCTCTCGCCAGCAGGACTTGGTCACCCTTGGTGTCTGGGTTCAAGAGAACGCCTGAGTTTGGAAAAGGCAGTGTTCTGACATGGCTTAGGGAGTAACACTGAGGTCAAGCTCTTCTGTCCACAAACCAACAGGACATGAAAATAACGTGGGCAAAGAGGTCCCTGTGATGGCTCAGATGTCGGGGTTGGGAAGGACACAGCCAAAATTAGATGGCTGCATGGATAAAGCCCTGAATGGCCATGGAGGAAAGGGTGCAACGGTCCCTCACCCAAAGGGACCCAAGAGTGCATGTCTTCTCTCCCTTTCTTACACACACACACACACACACACACACACACTTACCCAGTGAACGTGTAAACCTCAAAAGCAAATTTCTGCAGCAGGACGGACCTGGTGGAGTTGGACAGGATGAGGACCACGTTCATGTGGCCTGGCCTCAGGCGGACCAAGTTGCTGGTGTACGTCACATCTGTGAGCTCGGTGACCTCCACAAAACCTTTTTTAGGAATCTTGCTGTGGGGAAATATGGAGGATTTAGGATGGCATCAGGAGAGGTGGATGCCACTACTTTAGGAAGGCACTGGTGGAGCACACGCTGGGCTCTTAACAGACCATGAGGATGTTTACTACTCCCACTCTGGAGAAACGGAGCCACCCCAACTCACAGGTAACCCTGGCTACAACAGCCCTCTGTTGCTGCTTTTTGGCTGTTGTGAAAGCTGCCTTAGGACAGAATGAAGGTGCCAGTGGCCACTCCATCTGTTTCCCTTGTCTCTGAGATCCTGGCTCTGATCAGTCATGGGCAAACTTATGAGTGGTGGTGACACTGAGATGCTTCTGGGCTGCCTGCCTCCGTTACCTCATCTGAGACTGAGAAACTGAAGCCACAGGTGGATGATGACCAGACCGTCTAAACATCTACAGGGTCTGGGCAGACATTTTTTTTTTGTATTATAATATTGTAATCTTTTTTTTTTTTTGGTACCAGGGATCGAACTTGGGACCTTGTTCTTGCGAGGCAGGCGGCGGTGGAATCACTGAGCTAAATCTCTGGCTCATCTTTTGTTTTTTTTTCTTGAGACAAGGTCTTACTATGTAGTTCAAGCTTACCTTGAACTCACTATGGAGCGCAGGTTGGCCTTGAACTCACACAATCCACCTGTCTCAGCGTCCTGAATGCTGGGATTATAGGAGTGAGTCACTACACCTGGCTAATATTGTAATCATTTTTTTTTTTTGGTACCGGGGATTGAACTCGGGTCCTTATGCTTGCAAGGCAGGTGGTGGAACCACTGAGCTAAATCCCCAGCCCCACGTCATCATTTTTATATGAATATTTTTGGGTTGTCAAATGAGTTTCCATTATTTATGAAGAAATTTGCTTTGATATATAAGTGCTTTGAATTATGAGCATGTTTCTGGAATGAATCATGCTCACAACCACCATTTTACTGTGTTTCATATACATAATGATACCTTAGAGGATTGGACCCAAGTCTATACATGAAGCTCATTTATGGTTCATGTACACCTATGCACATGGCCTGAAGATAATTTCTTTTCCTTTTTTTTGGACAGGTCTCCCTATGTAGTTCAGGTTGGCCTTGAACTTTGACAATCCCCTTGCCTCAGCCTCCTGTGCTGAGTTACAGGTGTGCGCTGGGCTAGCCTGAAGATAATTTCATAGAGAAGTTTTAGTGCACCTGCATTTTGGCATGACCTGTTCTATCAGGTCAGGTGTGAAACTCTCAACTTGTGGGTTATGCTTGTGCGAAGTTTCAGATTCTGGAGCATCTGACATTTCACTTTTCAAGTTAGGGATGCTTAACCCTTGCTCTTGTCCTGCATGAGGGAGGTGAGGTGTAGCCCTTCAACCTCTCCTTGCTACTCATCCCTTGCTGCCCTGCAGGCTGCATGATTGCTCGGGGCGGGTGCAGAGGATGAATGAGTGTGGAGTGGGTCACAGAAACCTGCTGCTTTCTTTGGTGAAGCTCGGCTCAGTCTTCCCAGCCTTCTCAGGAATCTCCTCTTTATCTGGAGGGTGTGACTCTCGCTCATCGCTGGAGTCACTGAAGAATGAAAAAAAGAGTTTTACCAAAAAAAAAAAAAAAAAAAAGACTGGTTTTGAGACAGGGTTACTGCCCAGGTTGCCTTTGAAATCCTGGGCTCAAGTCATCCTTCTGCTTCAGCCTCCCAAGTAGTGGGGATGACAGGTGTGTGCCACCACGGCCATCCCCTCAAAAGAGCACAAATAAATGACCATGGTGATTTGGGGCTCCCTGTGAGCAGCCTGGGCACCCACCTGAAAGCCTGGATGATGACGGTGCCGAAGAGGATGAAAAGGGCGGAGAAGATCAGGGACAGGAAGGGCATCATTTCCCGCCTGGAACCAAGTGTGCAGCTGTGTTAGCTCCAGCTACTGCTGGTTTCTCTCCGATGCAAAGGAGAAACAACACACCCACCCCTGGCGAGGATGCTTTCACCCCAACAGACACTGCAGTACAAATGGGCTGGTGTGGGCGAGGGCGAGAGTGAGTTTGTTTATTTGGTGCCTAATTCTCAGGTAGCTTACTCCAAAGGCTGGTTTTCTATCTTGGCATGTAACAGGCTAAGCTGAATAAATTCTATAGAAGGCACTGAGTTGATAACAAGGATAATAAAGGGCTTAAAGCTGTAAACATGAGACAATTTTCTGATGTTGAAGTATCAGCAACTAAAATGTCTGTGGAATGATCTCAGTTTTATTAATTTTTTTGGGAGGGGCCAGAATAATCCAGATGAGGTCCAGAGGAGTGGAGCAGGAGAGAAAATCGAGCTTTCAAGACTTGTTTCAGGACTGGTGCTCTAAGACTTTGCTCAGCCACTGACACCCGTCCAGGGCCTGCCAGATTCCCGGCACTGTGCTGGGTGCTGGAGTCACAGCACGAATTTGAGGGGGAGATGTTCTCACTGGGGCATGGGGTGGGAAGTATTCCCTTTGCTTGATTCACTGATTCCTCCGTGCGTCTGCACACAGGCCTCCCTGTGTGTGGGTCCTGTGTGGAGCACTGAGGGCCCTGATGAAGTGGTTGGCAGGCCCAGCTCTGCTGTGCGGATGGGAGGCCAGGGCAATCCCTTCCTAGCCAGTGGGAAGTGGCGGTTGGCAAACAGAAAAATAGTTGGGTACTAAAAGGAGGAAGAGGGCCGGGGATGTAGCTCAGTGGTGCAGCACCTGCCTGGCCAGCACAAGGCCCTGAGTTTGATTCTTGGTACCAAAAATGAAAAAAAAAAGACCAAAAAAAAAAGCCCCTTTAAAAAAAATCCTTGAAAGGAGGAAGGGGGAGCAGTCGTTGGAAAGCTCTACAAGGCATGCACAAGAGGAGAATGGGCTCTTTCCAAGAGACACACAGTGACGCAGTATTCACGGAGAAAGAGCCCCCGAGCGAGCTCCCAGTGTGTTCCTACCAGTTACTGTGAAACATGATGTCCCAGCAGTCAGCGAGGTAGTCGGAGGCGGAGTAGAGCCATCGGAGGAGAAAGACCTGTGGAGACCGAAAATGGAGGGTGGTCAGGGCCACACTTGGAGGGAGGGTTCTCTGCCCCCAACACAGAGCTGCTGGGAACCTCGGTTCTTAGCAGAACTGTCACCAGCCCTGCGAGCCTGAGGGCTCCACCAGCTGCCCAGGCTTCCGGCCAATGCTCACAGGGGCAAGCTCATCCGTCAGGTCAGGGAGCACGGCCTCAGACGCCAGGAGGCCTGGGTCCTTCCGAAGCTGGTCGAGGAAGCCCAGGAGGATGAACTTATTGCTCTCGCTGCCAGTCCAAGGCTCCTCCAGGGTTCTGTACACCACCCTTCCTGCTGTGTTGCGCCTTTCTAAGACGGACACCTGGGGGAGGGGGGAGAGCCATCAGAAGTTGTTTTTTCTCCAGGGAGGATGGACAAAAGGGTCTCATGAAGTCAGTAATAAGCTCCAACACAAATATCTGAAGAGTCTAAAGTACTTGGAAGAGATTGAAATCCTCCTGACAAAATCATTTTGCAGTACTGGGGGTGGAACCCAGGGCCTTATACAAGCTACGCAAGTGCTCAAACACTGAGCTACATCCCCAGTCTTTTTTATTTTTATTCTGAGACAGGGTCTCACTAAGTTTCCCAGGCTGCCTTGAACTTGGGATTCTCCTGCTTCGGCCCCATGAGTTACTAGGGTTACAAGTATGTACCACTGCTTCTGGCATGCGTTTGTTCATTCATTCATCCACTCATGAGACAGGGTCTCATTATGATGCCTAAGCTGGCCTTTATCTCCCAGGTTCAAGCAATCCTCCTGGCTCAGCCTTCTAAAAAGAATTTTTTTTTTGTACTGGGGATTGAGCTCAGGACCTTGTGCTTTTGAGGCAGGTGCGGTGCCACTGAGCTAAATCCCTGGCAAAAGGAATTTTTTTTGGAGACAGGGTCTTGCTATGTAGTCCAGCCTGGCCTTCAACTCCTATGTAGCCTAGGCTGGCCTCAGACATGCAGTGATCTTCCTGCTTCTGCCTCCCAAGTCCTGGGATTACAAGTGTGCAGCACCACACCTGGCTCAAAAGAAATCGTTTTTATGGTGATTTTGCAAAGCTCTTGAAAAAGTTAAATTTATTTATTTATTTATTAAAATAAACTTTGTTCTATAACCTCTGACTTAAAATTATAATAACAAAGCTTTGGTTTTTAGAGGGATTTTCCATTACCAAGATGATGACAAAATCAAAGCTGAGCTTTATAAAAAAAAAAGCTGAGCTTTATTACTTTTCCCATCCCGGGGGTGGAACCTAGGGCCTCACCATGCTAGGCAAGGGCTCTACACTGAGCTGCATCCCCAGCCCCAAGGAAGGTCAGGAGAGAACCTGGAGCTCACCGCTGATTTCCCTTGAAATGCCTCACTGTGTGGTAGCAGGGTGCTGGCGAACTCCTGCTGCCGGCTGCTATAGACGTGCACGAACCTCACCGTGTCCCTCGTGTTGGCCAGGGCAAAGGACAGGAAAGCCTCAAAGGGTTTGCTCAACTTGGTGGCCTCAGGGGTCAGTAAGACCACGCAGTACCTGCACAAGAGCAAGAGGAGATTCTGTGACCTACCTAGGTGGGCCTAGAACCTGCCATGGCCAGCAAAGGGAAGAGGAGGGTGTCCCTGACTTATAGGGCTGCACATGTCTGGATGATGAAAGCTGCTGTCTCCAAGGAGAGGAGACTTCCAAGTCATTAATCAGTGCCCTCTCCCTTTCCAGTTTTCCTCAAGCAACTTCTCCATTACATATGCCAGCTACTTGTAAGCCAGTGGTCATTGGGCCTCCCAGACATCTCTGTCCTAGCTCTTCTGCCACAGCAGGGACCAGCTGGATCTATCTCAGGCCAGAGGCCACTGAGCCCCATTTTGAAGTGGCTTCCTCGCTCATTCACTTGTTCTCCTGCCCATTCCCTGAACACTAACTGAATGTGTGGGAAGAAAGGCAACATTCTGGCCCTCCAGGAGCTTATGCTCCCATGGGGAAGACAGATAAGAAATAAGGAAGCTACAGTGTAACAGGTAACAGCAAGTGCTGTGAACAAAAGACAAGAAAGGGTCAGACAGGCTAGTGTGGGGTGGAAGTCACAAGCCACCGACAAGCTGGTCAGGGAACTGTCACCTGAGAGGGTGACAGCAGTGCAGAGACCTGAGTGAGCTGCGCTATGAGAGGAAGTGGGGTCAGAGCACAAATGTGAAGACCAGGATGAGAGCAACTTGGCCTGCTGGGACGCTAAAGGTCACTGGCTGTGCCGGCACAGCGGACTGGGCAGCACAGGAGTGGAAAGGCAGCGGGGGGAAAGACTAGCAGAAGGCTGCCCTGGTGTCTCCCTGGGGGACAACGGTGGCCTGGTCTAAGGTGGCAGTGGTAAAAAAGTGAGAAATGGGTAGATTTGAATGTTTTTGAGGTATAGTATAGTATCTGTGTAAACAAAAGTTCCTATAGTCCAGGACTATTTTTTTTAATTTTTTGAGACAGGGTTTCACTATGTAGTTCAGGCTGGCCTTAAACTCATCATGTAGCCTAGGCTGGCCCTGAACTCATGCCAATCTTCCTGGCTCAGCTTGCTGAGTGCTAGAATTGCAGGTGTGCACCACCATGCCTAGCTAGGATATTCTTTTTGTTGTTGTTGTTGATGGCAGGAGTATTTTTCTTCAATTTTTTTTTTTTTGGTACTAGGGATTGAACTTGGGACCTTGTGCTTGCGAGGCAGGCAGCAGAACCACTGAGCTAAATCCCCGGCTTTGTTCAATTTTTTTTTTTTTTTTGGTACCGGGGATTGAACTCAGGTCCTTGTGCTTGCACAGCAGGCGGCGAAACCACTGAGCTAAATCCCCAGCCCTATTGTTCAATTTTTAAAAATAAATTTTATTTTATTTTATCCTTTTTCCCCCTCAAGCCCTCTCCCTTCCCTATGTACAAAAGCTTTGTTTCCATTTTTCCTTCTATTTTCACTTTTTTTCCTGTCCCTTCCTTCCTTTCTCCCTCCCTCCTCCCTTGTTCCCCTTCATTTAAACACTTTCTTTTCATTTCCCAACATCCATTATACATTTCAGTCCTTATTTAGGATATTCTTTTTTTTTCTTTTTAGGATATTCTTTTTAATCCAATGAAAGTCTGGTTTCTTTCTTTCTTTTGGTACTGGGGATCGAACTTGCAGCAGGTGGCAAAACCACTGAGCTAAATCTCCGGCCCAAAAGTCTGGTTCCTTGGTTCCTTGGTTTATTCCTTCCTTTCTTCCTTCCTTCCTTTCTTCCTTCCTTTTCTTTCTGGTATTGGGGATGAACTCAGGACCTTGTGCTTTCGAGGCAGGTGGCAGTACCACTGAGCTAAATGCCTGGCCCTCTTTTCTGTTCTTTTGAGACAGGGTCTTGCTATGTAGTTCAGGCTGGCCTTGAACTCACTGTGTAGCCCAGGCTGGCCTGGAACTTGCAGGAATCCTCCTGTCTCAGCCTCCCAAATGCTGGGATCACAGGAGTGCACCACCATGCCCAGCTGAAAGTCTGTCTTTGTTCTTTCTTGGACTGTAAAAAGCAACTGGAAAAGTGTGGAAACAGGGAAGTTATTTCTCTTCTTTTTTTTTCTGGGTATCAGGGATCGATCTCAGGAACTTATGCTTGCGAGGCAGGCGGCAGAACCACTGAGCTAAATCTTTGCCCCCAGGGAAGTTATTTCAAACATGCGTAACTGTATTTTCAAGTAATATAAATCTATTTTCCTTCCCAATCCAGATTATCTTTTTTTTTTTTGTACTGGGGATTGAACTTGGGACCTTGTGCTTGCAAGGCAGGTGGCAGAACCACCCAGATTATCTTTTACAGATAAAATAGTGATAAATTTAAAGCTATTGGGCCAGGGATTTAGCTCAGTGATTCCGCCACCTGCTTTGTAAGCGCAAGGTCCCGAGTTCAATCCCTGGTACCAAAAAAACAAAACAATAAAAATAAATTGAAAGCTACTGATTAGTAATCTGAAAAAGGCATAATGAATGATTTCCCTGAATTTCCAAACTTTTAAAAAATGGCATAGTAACTCTTCACTTACTTCAGCAAGTCACCAGCTAATCCCTTAACATCTGGGCATGCTGCTGCCTGCCCGCGTAATCACTGTCCTGGGCCCTCTGCAATGCTCCAGCAGGGACAGCAACTCTCTCTCCCACTCCGGAAATGCCACATATTAGGGCAGGCTGGTCCCCAGGTGCTCAGGACTAATGCCCCCCCCCCCCCGCCCCAGTCCCCCGGCCCTACATCAGTAAGTAAGGCCCAGCTCTGTCCCAGAGGAGATGTTTACCCCCTGTGGGCAAAGGCAAGCAGAGGCGAGCCTCCCGTCCTTACTTCCTCTGGCGGTGAGACCGCTTCACGGGGCAGAGCTCGTGGAACAGCTTCTGGCTGGTGAGCCTGGCCGCCAGCAGGTACTTGTTCTGGGTGATGAAGTCATCCATCACCTGCTTCTTCAGACTTTGAGCCTGCACACAAACCGAGAAGTGGAGGCTTGTGACTCAGTTTCCTCACTGCAGATGGGCTTTATTTACAAGCCAATAAAAATGTGGTGGCCCTGGTTCCAATACCTTAGCCAGGTCAGGCAGGCCTGATTGAGCAAACGAACACACAGTGATAAAGATAGAACTATTTTAGGTCAGAGGAGGAAGAAGGCAGGGTTCTTTCCACTGAGGGACTTCTGGATGCTGTGTCCCACAGACAGATCGAAAAAGTCAATTGTTGCGAATTTTAAGCAAACACATTTTCACTTAGGGTCTATAGCCAACTTGACAATGAAAAACAAACTCCAAAGGAACAGTATTACTAAGTATAAAAGGCAGACTGTAACACTGTATGAAATTTGCTTTGCTGTTACCTTATAGAATACAGATACCAGGTTCTCTGACCACACTGTATTTCCTCTACAACTTAATGTAAACTATAAACCTGAAATGCAATGTTTAGAAATTAAAAAATACACCCTGAATAAGCAACTGTTCTAGGAAGAAAGTCTATCCATATTAGAAAATACTTCGAATTTAAATGATCAATGAAAATACTATTTATCAAAATTTTGGGAAACAAAGTAGTACACCCTTGGAGGGTAAACTTGAAACCTGTAATGTTGAACTGGGTGCACTGTGCACACCTGCAGTCCCAGCTACTTGGGAAACTGAGGCAGGAAGATCACTTGGGGCCACGAGTTCAAGGCCAAGGCCAGGGACCCAGTCTCAAAAACCAAACCAAACCAAGCCAAAAATAAAAATAGCTGGGGAATGCAGCTAGTGGTAGTGTTTGAACACTTTCTTAGCATTTGGGAAGTTCAGGGTGCAAGCCCTGCTATCTATACCATTCATGGTTAAAGACTCTTAGTCAACAAGGGATTGAAGGAATTGGTGGAGAGTGTGGGGCACACCTATAATCCCAGCACTCTGGGAGATGGAGGGCAGAGGATCACAAGTTCAATTCCAACTCCAACCTGGGCAACTTAGGAGGCCACATCTTTTTTTTTGGGGGGGGGGGTACCAGGGATTGAACTCATGACCTTGCGCTTTCGAGGCAGGCACCGGAACCACTGAGCTAAATCCCCAGCCCCGAGGAGGCCACATCTTAAAACAATAAAAGGGCTGGGGATGCAGCTTAGTGTGAAGGCCCTGGGTTCAATCTCCAGTACTGGGGGAAAATAAACATAAAAACAAAAATAGAACAAGGAATAGAAGCAACTTCTTTAACCTGACAGAGTATCTGGTGGAAACACTGAAAGCCTTTCCTATCTCTGAGATCAGACACAAGGGTGACCCATCACTTTCTTGCCATTGCACCCCAGATCTCGGCAGAGGGCATAAAAATGAAATAAAACAAGGGTTGGGAGAAGAAGCAGCTAAATTGTCATTATTCTCAGATGACAGGATTGTGCACTTAGCAAATCCAAAAATGGTACAGTAAATTATTTAAACCGTAAGAGAGTCTGGTAAGATTGTTGGATGCTATGAAGATAGTGTTCAAACATCAGTTGTATTACTTTTACCTGCAAGCAAAAACTGTAATAAAAAAGACATCCTTTCAACAGCACAAAAAAATGAGGTACATAACAAGCTGAGGAAAAAGTATGATCTTTAAAGAAAAAATTATAACACTTTATAAAGACCTAGCCAATGAAACAGATCCATCATGTTCATAGGCTGGAAGGCTGAACTTTTGTAAAGACATCTATTGAATGAAACAATCAGTACAAATTCCCCAAGCTGAATGTAAGAACCATTACAAATCCATTCAAATAACATAGGTTTTTCCTTTGTTTTGATGTAATTTGACAGTATTCAAAATATATACAAAACATACAAAGGATCAAAAATAGCAAAAAAAAAAAAAAATAGCCAAGATGCTTTTGAGGTTAACAAAGAAGACAAAAAACAAAACCAAAAACATTCCCCCAAAACAAAATGAGGAGGTCTGACTATCAGATATCAAGACTATTTCCAAATGATTTAAACATCCAAATATAAAAGGCAAAGTTGGGCTGGGGATTTAGCTCAGTGGTTACGTCGCCTGCCTCACAAGTGCAAGGACTAGAGTTTGATCCCCAGTACCAAAAAAAAAGGCAAAGCTATAAAATGTTTGGAGGCTTTATGAGAATATTTTCATGACCTTGATGTAGGGGACATATGCCTTAAATAGAAACAATAAAAAAAAGACAAGTATTGATACAACTGATTCTATTAAAAGCAAGTAGTTATATTTATTAAAAGATACCAAATACAAGGATATAGTCATGCTGGGTATGGAGGTACACAACTATGATCCCAGCACTCTGGGAGGCTGAGGCAGGAGGATCACAAGTTGGAGCCCAGACTGAGCAACTTAGTGACTTAGAAAGAACCTGTCTCAAAACAAAAAAATAAAAAGGACTGGGGCTGGGCATGGTGGCATACATCTATAATCCTAGCACTCAGGAGGGTGAGGCAGGAGAATCTGTGAGTTTGAAGCTAACCTGGGCTACAGAGGGAGTTCAAGGACAGCCTGAACTCCATAGAACCTGTCTCAAAAAAAAAGGGCTGGGTATGTAGCTCAGGGTGTCAGCCCATAAAACAAAACAGAATACCGCCCCCATATAGTCCCAGCATTGTTATTCAAATAGCCAGAAATTGAAAAATCGAATGAATGCTGACAATAGAACAGACAAATACACTGGACTCTATGCAATTTCTTTTTTTTTTTTTTTCCTGGTACTGGGGATCGAACTCGGGACCTTGCACTTTCAAGGCAGGTGCGGTGTCACTGAGTTAAATAGCCAGCCCTTGCAATTTCAATATTAAGCTACACCTAAGAACATGTATGAATCCCAACAACTTAAGTTGAGAGAATCCAGACACAGATGTACACAATGTGGGAACTTTTGTATGACATTCAAATGGGCAAAACATGGAGTTAGAGAGCAGGATCTGTTCTCCTCTGGGAAGGAAAGGAGTGGCTGGGAGGGCAGAAGAGGAGACAGGGATGATGACAATATTTTGTTTCCTGACCAAGTGATGCCAACACAGGTGTATTCATTTTGCGATAATTCATTGACCTGATATGTACATGTTTTTACAAGTGTATTCTATGTAAGCCCTTAAAAATAATTAAAAAAGTGAATACTCTAAAAATACTACAAAGACAACTCACAGAATTGGTGAAGCTATTTGCCACACATAAAAGCAAAAGACTAGAGAAAAAAAAAACCCAAAGATTAGAAGATATACATAACTACTGCAAATCAAGAACAAAGATTCATGAATATGCAGTAGAGAAAAAAATGAGTCAGAAATGTAACAGGCAGGCGTGACACCAAGAGGAAGCCCTAAAGGCTCACATATAAGTGAGAAAACACCTCGGCTCCTTAGAATTAAGGACGAAGCAGAGCAGAATCACAACGTGATGCCCTTACATGTCATTCAGCTGAGAAAAAGTAGCTTGGATTGGTGTGGTGAGCTGCAGAGCGGTGGAGCTCACACACTACTGTGCAAATGTAACAGCTACTGCGGCTCTGGAAAACCCACTACCTAGCAGAGTGGGAAATTCATATCTGAGGAACCAGCAGTTTCCCTAGGAGTACCCATAGGAGCAGTTCTCAAACTGCTTTATCTCAGGACATTTCTACACTCCTAGAAATACTGAGGATCCCAAAGTTCTTGTTTATGCTGGATGAATTATTTCACTCATTCATTTAGAGATGCAGGTTTTGCCATGTTGCCCAGGCTGGCCCCGAATACCTGGGCTCAAGCAATTCTCCTGCCTCTGCCTCTGCCTCCTGAGTAGGTGGGACAGCAGGAACCACTGTGCCCAGTTCCCATGTGAGTTGTATTACTGATATTTATTAGCTGTCTTAGAAATTGAAAAACAAAAACTGTACATGTTAACATAAATGACATATTTTTAAAGAAAACTAAAAAAATTTAAAGAAAGAAAAATATTGGGCTGGGATGGAGCTCAGTGGTAAAGCACATGCCTAACATAGTATGTATGTATGTATGTATGTATGCATGTATGTATGTATGCATGCATCTATTTACTTAGAGATAAGGTCTCACTATGTAGCCTAGGCTGGCCTTGAACTCATGGCCATTCTCCTGCTCAGCCTCCTGAGTGCTGGGAATACATGTGTGCACCACCATGCCCAGCTGCACTGTTTTTTTTTTTTGGTACGGGGATCAAACTCAGGACCTTGAGCTTGCGAGGCAGGCGGAGAAACCACTGAGCTAAATTCCCGGCCCCAGGGCTGCACTGTTTTTAAAGAATCCACTTTTAAAATTATTTAATGACGTAGAACAGAGATGTAGGAAGGTGTACACATTTCTTTAATGTCCTGTTTCATGATGAAGGTAGGTGGAGTCTCATATTTTACCTGGGACCTCTGTTAGTATTTTTATTTTTGAGACAGGCTCTTACTATGTAGTTCAGGCAGAACTTGAACTCAGTGTGTGGCCTGGAAACTCATGGTGATCATCTCTATATGACACACCACTCTACATTTTGCTTCCTCAGTAGGACACAAGGCAGAGGAACCCATTTCTTGGGTCACTGCTGTCCCCTTAGTTCCAGCACCCAGAACAGGGTTGTAACAGGTACTTGGGGTTACGCTGCCTCTAGGCAGTGAGTGCAGCGCTCCAGGACTACCTCTTGGAGAGCCTGGGCCCCCAGCAAGGCAGAAAGGGGCCTTGTTTCTTCAGCTCCTCAATATCACTGGTTATTTTTTGGTCCTGGGGATCGAACTTGGGTCCTTGCGCTTGCGCAGCAGGCGGCGAAACCACTGAGCTAAATCCCCGGCCCCACTGGTTATTTTAAGTGAGAAAATCTTGACAATTTGATGGGTGAAAAAAATGTTAAATTTTCATTTCTCTGAGTACTAATGAGATTTAATTTTTTAAAATTTTTGTTGGGCTGGGGATTTAGCTCAGCGGTTCCAGCACCTGCCTTGAAAGCGCAAGGTCCTGAGTTCGATCTCCGGTACCAAAAAAAAAAAATGTTCATTAAGTCATTTGAATCTCTTCTCAGATTTTTGTGTTGATCTTGGTTAGAAGGAACTCTTTAGAAATTATAGGTACCAATGTGCTTATATTTGTTAAAAATGCTTCATCAGCTGATTTTAAAATTTAAAATATTTATGTGAGGGATAATCTTGACTGTCAACTTGATTGGAATAAGATTTGCCAAGAGGTGGGTGTGGTGGCATATACCTGTAATCCTAGTACTCTGGGAGGGAGGGGGAGAGGGGGAGAG